CGCGCCCCCCCCCCGCGCCTCCCACCCCCCCCGCCACTGTCCAGGGCTCCCGGGCCGCGAGGAGCGGCCGAGCTCGCCACCGCCTCCTGAAACTCTGGAAAGCGCCGGGGGCCGCGCCCACCTACCCGACCTCATAAGGAAAGGCCTGTGACCTCACCTGGCCGGGGCTCCACGAGCCCTGGATTCGAGTTGCTGCCGGGATTCCTCTCCGCGCAGCCCGGGTCTTAATCACGCCTTACATCCTGCCTGCTCCCTCCCCTCTGCAGCTCTGTTCATTCTCTGGTGCGCTGGTCCCGGCTTCAGTTTTGTCTAATGTCCACCTCTATATACCCTCCCTTTGTTCTAGAAAGTTCTTGGTTTCCACTACTTGATAACGGGTGGGAGCTCGGAGATTTTTTGTCCTATTGTGCTGAAAGTGGTCCCTGAAGTTAGACTACCTGTTGGAAGAGATGCTTTAGGTTGGTTGGTGGGTTTTAATCCACTTTTCTTTTTGTGCATCCTGCAGTTGAAATGATGTCAACAGGAAAGACACAAAGCAACTTTTTCAGACTTTCCCTATTTTGTCTCTCAAACATTGTATAAATCCAGTTTGATGAGAAATTGATCATTTGTTTAGAGCTTGCTGAACTAACATCATAAATACTGTCAAACTGCATTTTGAAATGCCCCCTCCACCCCCCCCAAAAAAAAACACACAATTTAAACTTTCTTTTCATTGTAAACATATTGCTGGATTTGTTCACATGGATAAATCCAACCTGAGCTCTCCATTATTTACATTGTGGTGAACAGTACAAGCTTTAGGCATAGCTCCGTCCAATTAATATCCTGATTATACTTTTTCCTATACGCAGTTAGGCAGCCCATTGAGGCTCATTCTCATTCTTCCAGAGTTGTGAGAATTCAAAACTACATACGTAAGGCCCAATAAATGTTAACAGTATTTCATTTTTTCTTTGATGTTATTATGCTCATTTATCTCTTAAACCTCACTTTGCAGACATTCTTTAGTACTTTTGTTTTTTAGCTGACAAATCATGACTGTATATAAGGTATACAATGTAATGTTTCAACACATAATATAGAATGGTTAAAACAAGCTCATTAACGTATCCATCATTTCACTTTTATTTTCTGTGAGACACTTAAAATTTTGAAATATGTAATACATTATTAACTACAGTCTATTGTACAATAGATCTCAAAATATTACCTCTGAGACCATACCTTTAAAAAGCATCTACACACACACACACCACACACACCCTGCTAATAATCATTATTCTACTCTATTCTAATGAGTTTTATTTTTTAAGATTCTACATAAGTAAGAGTATGTGGTATTCATCTTTCTATGCCTGGCTTATTTCACTTAAAAATGCCCCTGAGGTGGTTCATACATATTATTAAATGAGCAAATTTCTTTTTTTTTTTTTTGCTATAGGGCATCAGAATCCACCAGAAAGTGACAGACAGGCAGATAGAAAGTGAGAAATACCCCCACCCCCAGGAGATGGTCATACCACAATGCCTTCCCCTCCATTCTCCTCTTGGGATTTTGGGCGCCTGAGCACATCTGCTGGCATGATTTTCAGACTACCAGGTTGGGGACTCAAACCATGATCAGCCACATGGGAGTCCAGCACCTTAACTACTATGCCACCTGCTGGTCCCCAGAATTTCCTTCTTTTTAAAGGCCGAATTGTACTTCAGTGGTATATAATCACATTTTCTGTATTCATTCATGGATAGGCAATTAGATTGATTATACATCTTGGCTATTGTGAATAATACTGGAACGGACATGAGAGTGTAGATACCTCTTTGCATACTGATTTCATTTCTTTAAATACATAGCCATTAGTGGGATTTCTAGATCATATAGTTCTATTTTTGTTTTGTTTTGAGGAATCTTCATATCATTTTTCATAATGGCTATACTAATTTACCTTCCTAACAATGGTATGCAAGTATTCCCTTTTCTCTGCATCCTCACAACACGTGTTATCTTACATCTTTTTGTTACTAGCCATTCTAATAGGTGTGAGGTGATATCTCATTGTGGTTTTACTTTGCATTTCCCTAATGATTAAAGATGTTGAACACTTTTTCATATTTCCATTGGCTATTAATCTCTTCTTTTGAAAAAAAAAAGTCTGTTCGGATCCTTTGCCCATTTTTAATTTTTGTTTGTTTGGTTGGTTGGTTTTTCTTACTATTAAGTTTGTGTTCCTTCTATACCTTACATATCAGCCTTTTATCAGTTGTATGGTTTACAAACATTTCCTCCAAATCTATGGGTTCTCTCCTGACTCTATTGTTTGCTTTGCTGTACAGAAGCTATTTAGTTTGATGCAATCCCATTTGTCTATTTTTCCTTTTGTTGCCTGTGCTTTTGGAATCTTATCCAAGAAATCATTGTCAATCAACTAATGTCTGGAGCTTTTCCCTTGTAGTTCCTTCCAGTAACTTATACTTTCAGGTCTTATGCTTAAGGTTCTTATCTATATTAAGTTGATTTTTGTACATGGTGGAGATAGAGGTCTAATTTCATCCTTCTGCATGTGGATATCTAGTTTTCCCATCACTATTTATTTCCTCGTTGTGTATTTTGGTACCTTTGTCAAAAATAAATTATCTGGGCCAGCCCCATGCTGTAGTGGTTAAGTTCTATGCAGAGGAAGTTGAATCCCACATGGCACATGAGGGTTTGAATCCCAGCCCTGGTGACTCACACACCCGGGGAAAAGAGCGGTATACGTGTCCATGCCTAGGATCTTGATAAGATGGAGAACTGCAAGAAAAAGGATTGTGCCATGATAACCCTAACATTACAATTTTTTCCTAGACAGGGTCTTGCTATATTGCCCAAACTGGCCTCAAACTCCTAATGCCTTCGTCTCAGCCTTCCAAGTAGCTGGGACTACAGGTATACACCATTGCATCTGTCTTTGTTTTCTGAATTTCTTTTTCAGATAGTTTGTTGTTACTATATAGAAACACTACTGGTTTTTCTGTGTTTACTTTATATACAACAATTTCACTAGTTTGTTGACTTTATTAGTTCTTACAGTTTTTTGGTGGGGTCTTTAGGATTTTCTATATATTAGACTATATCATCAGCAAAGTCAATTTTGCTTCTTCCTTTTCTACTGAATACTTCTATTACATTCTCTTGTTTAGTGGCTCTGACTCGTACTTCCAATATATTGAAAAGAAGTAATAAGAGCGAGCAGCCTTGTCTTATTCCTGATCTTAGAGGGAAAACTTTCAACTTTCCACTGTTAAGTACGATATTAGTTGTGGGTTTATCATATATGGCCTTTATTTTGTTGAGATACGTTTCTTCTATACCAATTTGTTGAAAGTTTTCATCATGAAAGGATGCTGAATTTTTTAAGTGCTTTTTCTATTGATCATATGGGTTTTGTCCTTTGTTCTATAAATGTAATGCATCACTTTTCTTTTTAAGAGATTTTTGCTTTTGCTTTTAGATAATTTTCACTTTAGGGTAAAAAATAAAAATGCACTCATAGGAGAGAGAGACAGAGAGGGAAAGTAAGAAATCACCCCCTGGGGGTGGGGGGTGGCCAAGCCACAATCTCCTCTCTTCCATTTTCCTCTAGGTATTTTGGGCATGCATGCACACATGCCTGGCATGATTTTCAAACTGCCAGACTTGGGCTCAAACCCAAGTGGTCAGTCACGTGGGAGTCCAGCTCCTTAACCACCATGCTATCTGCTAGCCCCAAGCATCAACTTCTAATGTGTAAGGATTATGATGGGTCAGGTCTGTGTGCTGAACAACAGATTGTGGACGCTTAACTCTTGAGCAATTGTAGTTTTGTGTACTGGACCTATTCATAAGTTAGTTATGTATTAGTCATTTTTGCAGACCGCCCCCAAAGTACCAAAGGTATTTTGAATATGATTAGATTATTTTATCCATAACAGAGAATCCTTTAAAAATAGTGGTCTAAAAAAAATAGAATATTGGGGACCAGCAGTTAGCGTAATGGCTATGTTGCTGGACTCTCATGTCGTCGACTGCGGTTCATGTCCCGGATCTGGTGGTTTAAACTCACGCTGGGTGCATGTGTGTTCATGCCCAAGATCCCAAGAGGAGAATGGAGGAGAAGGGATTGTGGCTTGGCCATCCCCCCTGGGGGGTGATTTCTCGCTTTCTGTCTATCTCTGTCTGGCGAAAGCACGCGCCCTATTGCAAAAAACTTCTTCAAAAAAAAAAAAGTAGAATATTCTCTCCCACATTCGAGAGCTTGAAAGATAGCCACACTCCAGGGCTGATATTATGTGCCAAAGTTACAGGATCATAGGCTTCTTTTATTTTATTGCTTTATTGGCCTTCATCCCAGTTTAAGAGTGGTGGAGTACTTTTCCACCAGGCAAAAGTGTCTTAAGGATGTAGAATCACCAGCTAAGCCATTCCCAAATTTCTGACCACAGAAACTGCAAGATAATGTTTGTTGATTTAAGCTGATAAATTGTGGAGTAATTTTTCAGGCAATAAGAGATAATTAAGACAATACCTTAGTCCACATCTCAATTGTAGGTCAACTTCTATAACCTCTACTTCCCAGTTTGCAGGATGCAGGAAAAGAGAAAAGCATGTCCCTTTCCTTTCATGGCATTTATTGGAAGTTGCATGCACCTCTTTGTTTACATCTCATAGTTTATGGGATGGATATGGCACATCTAGGTGCAACAGAGGCTGGGAAACATCGTATTTATTCTGAACAATCGCACGCCCAACTACCAATCAGGATGTAAGAAAGAGAAAACAGATAATGGGTCACAATTTGCGATCTCTGTCACAGTGGTGATCATAATGGTTAGGAAAAGCAAAGTCCAGCATACACCCTGCATTTTCCCCCTTTTTCTTAACTAATTTTTTCCATTGGCCACCAAAGCAATATTTACACACCCATCACTCTGACTTCTCCAAAGAACCATGCCAATTATGTATGAGTCACTGGAAAACCCAATGAATGTTATTAGGTAAAACATGATTAATTGTGAAACTTTTTCCTTACAAAGTTCTTTTCAGGGACACTGCTAAAGAATAATTTACAATAGATGTTTTGCCTAGAGACTCAGTGTGCATTCTTTAATATATTAAGAAAGTACACAGCTGATGACAAGTCTTTCCTCTATGCAAGGAGTTGGAGAGAGATCATTGACATGTGACACGAGCAGCTGCAAGGAAGGCAGTCATGTTCCTGACCTTTTCATTTTCCTTTCACATACATATTCATTCTTAGGTAGCCTCATTAAGCAGATTTCTAGATATCTATTTAGTAATATATTTAACCCTTATCCCAAGCATATAAGATGGCCTCTTATATGTGTTGGCTAAACTAGAACAAATTAGGAATATGTATTTCCAGAAATACATTGTATTAAAAGATTATTTTCAAATAGTTTACTTGCAAAGCATATGTTCCCATTCTATTACATCAGTGTGAAGACGGAGTACACTGTAATCCCCAGACAATTGCTTGTAATGGTCCCAGTGATCATTAGATGGCTCTGTTACTATACAGTGCTGACTACAGAGGCTAAGATTACAAAATGTGTTTTGACATATAACTTTTCATTTCATTCCCACGTAATATCTTCTATTGTTATCAAGACATTTAGTCACTAGTTACCAAGATGTAAATAAAACACAATGAATTTCACAAGATTTCACCACATAAGGAATCTAAACTCGTGTAATCTTTTTATAATGTCAATTATTTATTATAGCATAGATAATATATTTATATTATTATAAATAGTCTAAGGAATTTAATATTCAAAGTAATGTAAACCACTTGTATCCTATACTGTCAGTGCTCAATAAGTTCTTTTATTTTGTTTTGCCATAGGGCTTGTACACTCGCTGGAGAGAGACATACAGAGAGAGGCAAAGTGAGAAATCACTCCCCAAGGGGATGGGCACACCACAGTCCCTTTTCTTCCATTCTCCTCTTGGGATTTTGATCACGCACACACATGTGCTCAGCATGTTTTTCAAGCTGCCAAGTCCAGGACTGGAACCATGGAGTTGACTATATGGGATCCATCACTTTAAACATCATGCCACCTGCTGGCTCAATGCTCAGTAAGTTTTAAATGGGATAAAGTTACAAATTCCAAAATCTTATTCTTTCTTATAGGATAATGTTCATAATTAACATTTTTATCCCATCTCCTGTGAATACATTTTTAGAGTATTTTCTTGCTTGCAGCTTAGTACACATAAAAAACATTTTTAGGTGCCTGCCAAGGAGCCTATTAGCTGTTTTGTTTTTTGTGTTTTTATTTTTTTTCTCCCTAGAATTCTGATCTATTACTTCTTTCAGTGTTTCATGGGAATTTGTGGCTGTGAGTGAATCCAAGAAACCTGAGATCACTTAACTTGGAAAATGAATCAAAAGTGACTGAACTGACTTACTATAAACATCTTTCTAGGCCAGAAGGATACAACCATGACTCCACAAATCAGTTGTTCTCACACTTGAACATGCATTAAGAATCACCTGGAGGGCTTATTAAAACACAGATAGTGGGCTAGCAGGTGGCACGATGGTTAAGATGCTGGATTTCCACAGGGCCGATCATAGTTCAAGTGGCTTGAAAATCACACAGGGCACATATGGGTGTCCAAAATCCTGAGAGGAGAATGGAGGAGAATGGACTATGGCATGGTCAGCCCCCCTAGGTTGTGATTTCTCACTTTCCCTCTCTGTCTCTCTCCAGAGAGTGCAAGTACCCTGTGACAAAACCCTAAAAGTAATTAATTAATTAATTTAATTAAAATTAAACTGCTAGGCCCCACCCTATATTCAGTATCCTTCAGTAGTTCTGGAGTGGGACCTGTCAATTTTCATTTCTAACAAGTTTCCAGGTTATACTGATGTCACTGGTCCTGAGACTACACTTTGACACCTAATGACTTAAATAAAAGATGTGCATTTTAAATGGTCCAGTAAATAATAATTTGTATTAAGCCTTTATTTTACCCATTTATGCTTTCTACGAAACAAAATCAAAAACCCTACATTGATAAGTCTTTTCTGTTGAGGTTACATGAGTTGCTAAGTAATCTTCAATTCATTAAAAAAAAAAAAAAAAAAGATTAAACTCCTAGAAGAATAATAACCTAGTCTTCTTGAAACTATTACTAAGTCTGAAGAAAAGCTCTAGATTCTGAAAGTAGCTTCAGTTCCTGTAGTAGTCATCATTCTGTTACTTTTGGAAACATACTTGTTCAAAAATAATCATTTGTGAGGCAATGACACTTATTCTTTTCACCCAAAGGAAACTGAAATAACAACACAGGAAGCATGGGGCAGCCTTAGGCCAATTCTTTTTGGAAAGCATGTTTAATTCACAACCCAAAGAAGGTGATTAGGAAGTCAGGAAAGCACTTAAGTAATTCAAAAAACAGAAGTGGCTTGAAACCATGAGGTCTAGGAATAGCTGAGACATAAGGAACTGACTCCTAGTATGGCAACTTGTCAGGAATGTCAGTTTCCTATTATTGTCCATGGATTCTGAGGCTAGATGTGAACCGTCTCCAAAAGAGCTGGGCACAATCCCTTTGCACTGTGTTGTCTAGTGCCAGAATACTGTCTAGATGTCCACGCTACATTATGCCAAAACGGACTGCTACTTGCTATTATCTGGACACAGGTACCGGTCACTCCCACATATGAACAGGACTGGTTTACAAGGCCTGTGAGCTTCATTTCAGAAGTTCATGCACCATCCCCACTCATTCATTCTTTAGACACACTTTCTTCCTCCTTTGATGTAGTTTCTTTATATGAATAAGCTTATCTAGGAAAATGCCCCGCTATTACTCTCATGGACTCTCAGTAGCTGAAGGTTCTAATTAGTTCTAAACGAGCTGGATTCATGATCACTGCTTCCTCTGCCCCATCTATCTCTCTACCCTATTCCTAGTCCCTACAGTCAGGAGGAATCCGTGGGTGAAACAGGGCTCAGTCGTTGCCCAGTCCTAACTCCAAGCCTTATTCTTGATGTTAGCATAAGGATACAGAATTTACATTCTCAGCTACTTGAGATGGATTCTTCTTCCCTAATATGTGGATGCAAATGTGTACAAAGTTAAGTAACAAATAACAAGTAAATGGAGCTTAAGTGCTACATCAGGAGATGCTAACTATTAACAAAAGTTGAAAGAGTTTGGAGAGTGCACAGGATGAGACTCTCATAAAGAAAGATGGTATAACATCTGCTCTTACCAAATCCAGGTCTCTCACCTCTTTCAATTAAAAATATATATCTATCAGTTTCTCACAGCAATCTTGACTGTATGTTCCATGCTACACTAACTCCCAATATCTTAGAATGTTACTACTGAAAGAGACCTTCAGGATTGGCTGGTCAAAACACATCATTTTTCAAAAGAGAAAATTGAGCCCCAGAGAGAAGAAAGTGACTTGCCTTAATGAAGATTAAAGAGTTCTTTGCTACAACACTGAGGTCAAGATTTCTGATCACTGGACCACTATTTATATCTTTCCCTTTTTTTTAGGCAGCAGATGATGGAGTTTAATAATGGATGGATGTCAAAACTAATGGCACAACTGCTATTATTGGGACAAAAGAACAGTCCCTCCTCCTCAGGAAAGGTCCATACATCCATCCTCACATCCATCCGCAGGACAAGAGAGCCTCTTATAGACCCAGCAACTTGCTATGAATAATGCCAAGTGGCAGTGTCCATGTGCCAACCAAGACTATGTGGGTTTTTAATGCTTCTTTTCTTCATCATCAAATAAAATTACAAATACAATGTAAATATGTTTATATACATGTTCTTCTAGAGTAAGCAAACCTCATCATAGTGCCCCGAAGAAAAAAAATAAAAGAAAATTGCACTTGTGGCCTCCTAGATTAAAGACTGAGTTAGAGTGAGATTGTCCGGCCCATAGAAGAACAGGCCACACATATTGATACAACTGACCCATCATTCCATCCTGGCACTTATGCCCAGCATGCTCACAGGAATGATTCCTTCACAAGACACCCAAGAGGTAGATAAATGCAATCAGCTCCATGGATGGATGTAGCACACAGAGGCACAGGGTTGTGTGTGTAGAGGTGCCTTGGACAAAGGGCAGAAGGCCTGAAAGGTAGGGCTAGATCTCTGGCTCTACCATAGAACTCTTCCTTGGAGGAAAAATATTGGTGATGTGAGAAATTCCCAGTACATAGCAAACATGGACAGCAGTGAAGGTGTGGAAATAGGAGGTAAAGAGATGTGGTGGTCTAAGGGTGCCATGCTTCTTCTAAGTGAACCTCCAGAACACAGCTGACCAGAAGGCAAATCTAAAGGGTTGTATTACAACCCCTGAGTGGCCTTGCCATCTTCATTCTCAACAGGTCAAAAAATAGGTAACAAGGACTTCCTTTATGAGAGAACCATAGTTGAATTGAGGTAATAGCAAAGGGCACAGGCAATTCTGAAGGTTCAGCTCTCTGCCTCCTCCTCCAGACTAAAAGAAGAGAAAGGAGAGAGGTACAGGTGAGACACTTGAGCTGCCAAGCCCAACAGTTCCTGCAAGAAATGCTGGGAATCGAACCCAAGAACCATAAACTTATAAACTCAGGATAGAGCCAAGGCTTGGCATCCCTTCCTCTGGAATGAGAGGCCTCAGCCCTGCCCTTTTCTTCAGGGAGACTGGTCTGACAAGGAAAGCTGACGTCTCACTGAGGTAATGAAGAACACCTGCTCAACTCCGTAAGTCACCCTCAAGCTAAGCAGGAAGAATCCCTGAAGGAGGCACTTTGGGAACAAAAGTTGATGAACTCCACTTATCAGAACATATCACAAGTTTTAAATTACACACTTCCCCACACGAAATACACTTATCCACACACACACACACACACACGAGACCCACACTTCCACACATTCTCCCACCCCAGTCCACTCCACACCCCAAATCCCACCCCACAAGTACTGTCTTCTGTAAACATGGCAGCAGAGACTCCCACAATGCTGGCATAGTCTGTTAATGATCTGAGGATGACCGCTGGTCATTAGGTGCCCCGGTAGGTGATATTGGTGAAGGTGGATGTGGCCTCTTTATACAGTGGATTGTTGGCCTGAGGAGAGAACAGAAACATGTCTTACAATGAATTCCTCAGTCCTTCCCTGCTCTGAAGGTCTAAGTTTCATCTAACAAGTTTGTTCAAGACACCCTTCTCTGGAATTAACCACCAATGAAACAGGCTAATGTTCATTTTACTCACACTCACTCTTAAGATGGGAATGGCTAGGAAGTAAGAGGAGGAGGGATCAGGCAGAGTGCCATCTGCCACCATCACTGATGGGTTAAATTTAGCCCGTAACTCTTTGGCGGCCCCTAAACACTCCAGGATAGCTTTTACCCAACATCTCCTACTTCCGCTTCTCTTCCACTCTCTTCTGTCCTTTTCCTCTTTTCCCTTTATTGTGACAGTGCTGGAGGATGTGGGCAAGGAGAGAAATATCATAAATAGTGGTCAGAACACAGAGGACAGCTTCTAATCAAATAATTCTTAATCCCCTTTCATTACATCCCTTCAAGTACTATCCACAAAACTGTCATCTCATCAGGAAAAAGCAATACCCTAACTAGGTTTCCCAAATTATTTTCCAACAAAAAGTGGCAGACCCTATAAAGTCCAGTAGTCCTTAATGGTAGTTTCAAGGAACACAGCACATTCTTATGTGCCTCAGCGGGTCAGGAAAAAACATTACCCTAACTAAAACATCTAAGTTTCTTAGGATCCTTGGATGCAAAGCCCTAGGGTCACCATTAAATGGGAACAAACTTCAGCCTAAATCTGGGCATTCGGGGAGTCAAACAGCTATTGGGAATATTAAAAAAATAATAATAAAGTAAAATAAAATAAAATAAACCTGAAATGTGGAAGATGAGCCAGAAGAGAATAGAGTCAAATTTAGTATATAAAAGATCCTCAGAAAATCCAGTTAAGCTGCAGGGAGAATATAATAGAGTCTGATATGGATGCTACTATCTTATCATTTATGGAAAAAGAAGAGAATGAGGTAGGATGACATCCTCCACTATTTTTAAGTGGCTGACCCAAAAAGTCATTTCCATAGTAACCTAATTCCTTCCCACAATCATGCAAGTTACTCAACTTCTCTGTGCTCAGTTTCCTTATCTACAAAATGAGAATGATACTATTGTCCATCACACAAGGTTGTTGCAGTAATGAAATAAGTTAATTTGTAAAAAGCATTTAGAATAGTTCTAGTGCATGGCAAATCCTCAAAAAAATGTTAGGTATTATATTTTTTTCTATTGTGTGTAGAAAAAGCTTTGAACTTCAATAGTATAGAGTGTATCATATGTTCTCAGCATAGGTTTGCCCTGTCTTCTTCCACTGAAAAAGACGTTTCTTTTTCATTCCTTCAGTGTCAGACAGAGCTGGGTCCTTTCTGGGTTCAGTTGGCACTCAGTGACACAGTGCATGGTTACTGTGTGGTAAAGAGAGAATCAGCTGGGTTTTAGGAAGCTTAAGGATACCAATTTCCAGAGTAGGGGATAACAGAAAAAGTATGAGCTGCATAAATTTGGCTACCCTACACATCTGGCAGTTAGTTAAGAAAATGCCCTGAGCCTGAATGGTAACTGGCACTTGAGGAAGGTCCTGATTTCATGTCCTGGGACCTCCCTGAGCACATGAGGCATACATGCACATAGCTAGGTTCCAGGTCAGCTAAGACTAAGGGTGGATTAAGTGTGAAGACCCTGTTGGGGTGCCTGTCTCTCACTCTTTCTCTCTCTCTCTCAGAAGAAGTAAACAAATAAACTTTAAAAAAGAAAGGAAAAGAAAGAACAAGTCCACCCAGCCTGTCCTCTTACTGTGTCCCATTTTGCTCTGGCTCGTTCTTCCTCAAATTTTGCAAACTCTTTGCGGTCATGGATGGTGATGAGCAGTTTCCAGATGAGCAGCGTGGCCAGACCGATGAGCAGAATGGCTCCCATCACAGAAAGCAGGACCACCAGGATGTCAGGGCCCTTGGGACACTCTGTCAGGAAAAAGCACAGAGCAGGACAGCTGTGAATGAAACAGAAATCACTTGAACTGGCAATGAATAAGGTCTTGTTGACAAAGTAATAAAGGTCTTTGTCCATTATTGCACTGTTAACAGAAATATCTAAGACTTGGTGATTAATAAAGAAATAGGGGTTTGGGGACTTACAATTCTGGTGGCTGGAAAATCTAAAGGTATTATAGGCCTGCCATTAAGCTGGCCTACAATATGGCTGACGGAAGCATAGAGGGTAGCAGGTACATGCAGAGAAAGAGCTGGTCCAGTTCTCTTTTATACCAACCGGCTCCCAGGAGAACTCACCCTTTCTTATGAAATCTAGAACTCACTAGGTCTAGCAAGACATCATTAATTTATTCACGAGAATCTTGCTCCCATAATGCAATTGCCATAACCTAATCACTGCCCACTGGGCCTCAGCATCTTCCAAAATCAAATTCTAAAACAGGAAACTTTAGGGGACAAACCATTATCTAAACCATAACAAGGTCTTTGAAGGAAACAGGATAGTCTTTAAAATAAGTTTGTTTGTTTTAAATAAAAAGGGTCAATCTTTGGGACAGCAATAATCTGATCTGAACGGTGTCCTGCTGCACCACTCTCTGGTCCCTGTACTGGGTGGTTTAAATCAAACATCTTGAGCTGGTCAACCCTGGGCAGAATCCAGTCTAGTAATCAGGAAATTTTCTCCCCTAAAATTTCAAAATTTCTTCTCTTCAAAAAAAAAAAAAAAAAAAAAAAAAAAAAAATGGCCTGGCCCCATAATCTAGTGATTAAGAGAGCCAGATCCCACACATCTGACTGTGTTCAAATCCCAGCCTCAGCAGCTTGAAAAACACTCCAGGGGCATCTGCAAGCATGCCCCAAATCCCAATAGGACCAGGGGCATCTGCAGGCATGCCCCAAATCCCAATAGGATAGAGAAATTAAGGAGAAGGGCCAGTGGGTAGTGTAGTGGCTAAGGCACTGGACTCCCATGTGGTCAACCACAGTTTGAGTCCTGGACCCAGTCGCTTGAAACTCACTCCAGGCACATGTGTATACATGCCCTAGATCCCAAGAGCAAAATAGAGAAGAAGGGATTGCAGTGTGGTCATTCCCCCTGGGGGGGGTTATTTCTCACTTTCTCTCTCTCTGTCTCTCTCTGTGTCTCTCCAGCAAGCACATGTGCCCTGTAGCAAAATCTCTCTCAAAAAAAAAGTGAAATGGAGAAGAAACTACAGAGTAACCACACCCCTTTGAGGAGTGCTTTCTCTATCCTCTCCCTTTCTCTCTCTCGTGAGCATGTGTGCCCTCTCACAATTTAAACAAAACAAAACAAAAATTAGAAATTCTGAAACCTAAAGTCCTACAGGACAGCAACTGGTGAGAGCTGAGAAGCAGTTGCCCATTATAGTTGGGACACACATTTTATAGTTTACCTGAGTCCTCACCACTTTCCCTTTTCTCTCCTAAACAGAGGCGAAGTGACTGTCACAGTGTCTGAGCTGCAGAGGACCTGGAGCTAGACTGCTTGGACTGGAATCCTGGCTTACCACTTAACTCTGCTATGTGACCTTTGGTGAAGCTTTCCTGGGTGTCTGTTTCCTGTTTCTTTATCTTTAAATTGGTGACAGTAAGCACTAACTTGATAAACTTGTTTTGAGAAGTAATAGAGTTAAATCTATTCCAAGAACTCAGAACAGGATCTGACACAGAGGGCATGCTCAGTAACTACCAGCTACTGTTGCTACTGATGTGTTTCTCACTCCCAGCTGTTTTCACGAAGGCACCTGCCTACTTAGCCCCTGTAGCCATTTGCGTCTGGTTTCCTGGTTCAAAAATTTACATTCTGAAGAATGAGGAACTTACTAAACTTTTTGGCATCCTGAGAGACCACCAAAAGGCCTGCCAGCCAAGACAATATTTTGGGTTCTTTCCCAAACTATGTAGTCATCTAAGATCATAACCCTATAGAAAGCTGACTTCCTGTTCAACTCCAGTCCACAAACAAGACAGACAGATACATCACCTCTTTAAGGATCAAGCTGAGTATGTGCTGCAAAGCTGCTTCCCATAAACCTCAGGTGTCTGACAGGTGACCTCACTCTGGTAACCTCAGGAGTTATGAAACTAGGTGTTTGTATATTTGGGAATTGGAGAGTGGACAGGAAGTCACACCCACTTTCCACACTGTCTCCCACCTTCCTTTCTAAACATACACCCTGTGCTCACCACACACTACACGAAAACAACCACCACCACAAACCCAAGCTGGCTATTTATTGCCCTACCCGCCAAATTATAGCTTGTCTATAATTAAAAGAGCACTTGGACAAGGGCTATGAGGTTCCAGTGTCCAAGTTCCCAGGAGTGCTAGGTCCCAGTTCTTCCGGGAAAAGCAATTACAAAGTCTCTGGAATAATAGAGTCACTTTCCACCTCCCTTCCACTCTACAGTCCTTACCCCACTTCAGTGTCACTACTGATTTACATGCCTGTCTCCCACATTGGTGAGTAAACCTTATTCATTGTCATCTGAGGGGACTTTTCAAAAGTTAACAGAGGGCCAGCAGGTGACATGCTGATTAGGGCGCTGGACTCCCACATGGTTGACCATGATTTGAGCCCCGGAATTGATGGCTTGCTTTCTCACTTTCCTTTTCTCTCTCTATCTCTCTCTGTCACTCTTTTGTCAAATTAAAATAATAATAATAATAATCACACAATTAAATAAATAAATAGTTAATGAAGGGACCAGAAGATGGTATAATGGTTACATTGCTGGACTCCCACGTCACTGTTCAAGTCCCAGACCCAGTGGCTTAAAGCTCATGCTGGGCACATGTACATACATGCCCAAAATCCTGGGAGGAAAAGGCATTGCAGTGTGGCCATTCCCCCGGGGGGATGGATGATTGATCACTTTCTGTCTTTCTGTCTCTGACAAGTGCATATGCCCTATAGCAAAAATCTCTCCTTTTTTTTGGAGAGGTTTTTGCCATAGGGCACGTGCACTCACCAGACAGACAGAGAGAGACAGAGAGACAGAAAGTGAGAAATAACCCCCCGAGGGGATGGCCACACCGCAATCCCTTCTCCTCCATTCTCCTCTTGGGATCTTGGGCACACATGCACATGCGCCCGGCGTGAGTTTTAAGCCACTGGGTCCAGGACATGAACCGCGGTTGACTACGTGGGAGTCCAGCAACATAGCCATTACACTAACTGCTGGCCCCGAAATCTCTCTAAAAAAAAATGTTAATGAAAAATGTACTCAAAGTACACATTTATCATAGTACAAAAAAAAATTTTAAACCCATGCCTAGTTGGAATTTCTTATTTTATTTTTGCTGTAGCGCACAGGCCACAGGAGAAAATGAGAACCTTCTAGGGGGATGACCAGGCTGCAATCCCTTCTCCTCTCCAGATTTTGGGCACATACACACACATACCTGGAGTATTTTTCAAGCTCCTGGATCTGGGATTCAAACTATGCAGTTGGCCAGGTTGGATCCCATCACTTTAACCACCATGCCCCATGCTAGCCCTGTGCATAGTTTTTTTGATAATATATTAATACATTTTATATGAACTTTTTGAAGACCTCTTATATTCTCAGTACCAGCACAGTGCTCAACATATAGTTAAGTACTCAAATATTTTCAAGTGATTCAGATCTTAATCTGTTGTTTAAGGGAAAGGAAGGAAGTTGATCTGTGCATGATAGGATGGGCTCTTCCTCCAGCTAGTAGCCTGGAGAGCAAGCACTGTCTTTCTGTGTTCAGGGAAGGCTTGAGTTAGGGTATCGAACCCATCGCTACATCCTCTGGTAAATCTGATAAAGTCATGCCTCCAACCATCAGGCCTTCCTCCGAAGCAGCCAGCAGGTTGCTCTTGGCAATCATCACATTTTCAGCAGAGCAGACGCTGTGTGCTCTAAAGTCTTACCATTTAAATTCCTTACTTCTTGGCATTATTGCCTCAAAAACTGCATATGTTTTTTTCTTCAATGAGATCCATATCTACCTTCTTCCTTACCTACCTTATTTTTCTGTCACTCCAATCAGCAAGTTACTTTCTTGCTAATATTTGACTTCAAAAAGTTTGTGGAAAAAAATGGAGGTAAAGTACAAGTTTATTTTGATGTCAAAAAATGAAATCCATGAATAATTTTTTCATAATACACATTCCCCATGAATATTTTGAAGACCCCCTCATATCTGTACATCTCCTCACTGAGATAACAGATCCTAACTTACATGTACAAGGCCAGGCTTAAATTGCTGCGTTTAAGAGGGGTGATGGGTAGAAATTCCCACCTGACATAGTTCTCCCTCTCCCTATGGGCAGGGCCAGGGCCCAGTGTTCACTCACCTGGCTCTTCCACCACATAGAGGATGGACTTCCCACTGTGGTCTTCATAGTACTGGAATCTGACGACACAGTCATCTTCATTCTTGTACGTACAATTCACTGCATCCTTGCCAGTGTCCTCTGGGGGAGGGAGGAATATGGAAGAATGCAAAACAGGTCAATTCCTGGAAGATGGGACCACCTCAAAAACTCACCGCAGGACCTCTAGGAAAGTATGTGACAGTAGGTAAGGTGCCTAGATTCAAGATGGCTGTCATGCCTGGCCATTGCCACTTGCTGACCCTCACTGAGGTATTTTTGTCCCTTACAGGTTCTTATTCCTTCCTCTGGAAGTGACCTGATCTAACACTATTACACAACCTGATTCAAAGCCTGCATCCACCATCTACAGCTATATGATCTTGGGTAAGTTACTTGACCTCATCAAGTCTCTATCAATAGAAGAGAATCGAGGAGCTGATGGTGGCACAACAGTAAAATGCAATGCTCTGTAAAGCTGACTCACATGCAGAGGTTTCTGGTTCAGATCTAGAGACCTCCCTGAGTATGCTAGCAAGTGTGAGCCCATAATTTTGGGCTGGCTGAAGGTGGAGGTGAGGGTTCTCCCTCTCTCTTTCTGTATTTCTATCTCCTCTCTGTTGCTCATGGAAGAAATAAAATAAATGAAAAAAGAAAAATGGGGGAAAACAGGTGGGAGCTAGACTTAATCAGAGATCCTGAGATTGAATCAGAGACATTAAGAACTTGGGTGCAGGGGGACCAGCAGGTGGTGTGGTGGCTAAGGCACTGGGCACTCCCATA